TAGAGCAGCACCAGGAAGGGTGCAGGCCCTCAAGCACAAGCTGAGTGGAAGGCAGAATCAGCAGGTGTGGTTTTTATCAGGTATTACTATAGTTCTGCATTGTTACTTGATATTAGCCCAACTATCTGGGTTGGGGAGGGGTGGGCAGCGAATCAGCCCATTGAGCCTCCCCCCATCTGTCCCTAAAGGGAACAGCCATGGGCCCTGGGGAACACAGTGTGAAAACCACAGAGGAGGGAGGCGACCGTCAGGCCTTCAGCATTTCTAAGGCAATGATTCTACTCAAGGGGGAAGTAGGAGACATGTGAAACTCCCTGACTGGCTCTAAAATCTATCCCTACCTCAGCCAGAAGCCTGAGAACCTCTCTTGTGACAAAAGGCACCTGGTAACACCCTAAATCTGACCAAGTTGCTCCTTAGGGCGGGCTGCAAGGCTCTGAATACCCCAGCCCCTGGCCTCCCCTCCCAAAACCCTCCCTCACTCACCCTGCCCTGCACCTCACCAAGCTTGACCACCCTGGGACTGTTGCACTGTTGTCCCCTACATAACAGCCTTGAGTTATGTCTGTCTCCTGTCAATCTCAGAGGTCTTCCTGACAGCCCAGCTAAAGCACCAGTCACACCTGATTTTAATTCACTGCCTAGCCCAGCCGTGGGCAAACTACGGCCCGTGGGCCAGATCCGGCCCGTTTGAAATGAATAAAACTAAAAAAAAAAAAAAGACCGTACCCTTTTATGTAATGATGTTTACTTTGAATTTATATTAGTTCACACAAACACTCCATCCATGCTTTTGTTCCGGCCCTCCGGTCCAGTTTAAGAACCCATTGTGGCCCTCGAGTCAAAGTTTGCCCACCCCCTAGCCCCACTCTTTACCCTGCCCCTTGTTTAATTCGCCAAGGGTTTGTCTCCCCGACTCCATGGGGGTAGGGCCTTTGTCAAGTACACCCTGTATCTCCAACACCTGAAGCAATGCCTTTCCTCAGCTCCGCCATGCCTTCAGGATCAAATCCACGCTTCTCAACTAGACCTACCAGGCTCTACGAAGCCTGGCCCAAATCCATGAACACTTCTCCAACTCTCCCTCCCCAACTTTCCACCTTACAGCCTTCAAAAAGCCTCTTCCTCACCTGGGCCAAGGCCATTCCCACCACTCCTGATGGCTGTGGTGAAGAGCCAATAAAAAACACATGTAAGAAAGAAGAGGACTCAGCAGAGGCCGACATCTGAAGAGAAGCTGGAATTTTTACTTTGAAGGGGCTCTGGGCAGCAACTATGTGGAAGAAAGATGGGCCCAGGGCACTGCATTTGCCAGTTTTTATTTGATTATATGTCCCTCCCGCTCCCAACCCTCATCTTGAAACCGAAGATGCTCATTTTGTCCAAGTCCTCCTCCTGATGTTATCTGACAAGGCTCTGTAACCTGAAAAGGGCCTTCAAAACTCCAGCAGAAATAATAAAGACTTAAAATTGCTAAGATATTCTAGGGCTCACCATGTGTCATATACTCTTCTTCGATATGTTATTTGCAGACTTACTGTTATGTCTTCCCAATTATAAATGCTTTCCACAAATTAACCCATTAAACCTTCACAACAACCGATCAGGGGAGAGTTTTCATCATCTTATGACACAGATGATGAAAAGGGTCAGAAGGGTTGAGAACCCGCTCAAGGTCACACAACCAGCAAGTGAAAGGGCTGGATTTGAACCCTGTGCTCTGATTCACTTCAATGCAGCTCTTTATAGAGGTTACAGATCAAGACACCAGATTCCTGGATCCTAGCTGGGCCAAGCTGAAAGGCTGGCTAGCCGGGTGCCAGAAAGAACTGAGATTGGGGAGTGTGGGGGGGTGTTGATGCCCTCAGTACTGCTGACGAAGCATTTACACAGTGCCAGGCACTCTTGGAGGAGCTTCTCATGAACTAACTTATTTAACCCTCACAATAGCCTGAGGTGGTTGCTGTTTTGAGCCCACTGCACAGAGATGAACACTGTGGCCCAAAGTCACACAGCCAGAACATGAAAGTGCCAGAACTTGTTTACATGGCCACTACACCATCCTGTTAGAGACCTCTAACAAGGTGCCCTGGTAGCTGGGTCACCCCCTGCATATCACTCTGTCTTTCCCCAGTTCCCAGCACATACTCTGCCCTGGGTTAATAAATGCCCTGGCTCAAATCTGAAGATGGACCAACTTCTACCACCAAGCCAGGACTGCTGGACTGGCTGCCAACCGAGGTGTTCACAGTAGCCCTAGGCTCTGCAGATGAGAGGAAGGAAATACCCACAGGTGCAGCTGGCAGGGTCTAGGGCAGGAGCTTTGAGGTGACAGAGACCCACTCCAGCTTGGGACCCAGTGAGCTAGGAGTACATGACACCAAGGACAAGCCGACAGGCATTCAAACCCCGGCTTGACCCCCTAGGTCTGATGGACCTAGGGCAAGGTAATTCCTCTTCTGAGCCCCAATTTCTGACTCTGCAAAATGGACAGAAACACCATATTCACCCCTGGGTGCAAATAAACCAATGTCCCAGCTACTTGTTGACAAGAGGTTCACTCTGAGGCCAAACAGGGCCAGGGATTCACATCCCCACTCTACCACTTCTGGCTGTGAGACCTGGGGCAAATCATTTCACTTCAGACCAAGTGTCTCAGTTTCCTCACCTGTAACGCAGGTATCACACTTCTCCTTACCTATTAGGATCTGTAAAATGGGCACAACCAATACCCAGCCATAGAAGTATTTTGAGATTTAAATTAGATCATGTGTGTAAAAGTCCTGTCACATGCCAGACATACGGTGAATGGTCAATAAACACGGCTATTCACTAGCTCTGGAAATTATCTGCTTCTCTGTGCCTCAGTTTCCCCTTCTAAAATAGATCATAACAACAGTACCTGTAGTTCTAGGATGTGAATATTCAGCCAGTTGGCCCATGTGAAACATTTTGAACAGCATGTGGCACACAGAATGCTCTCAATAAATGTCAGCCGTCAATCTCATGGTTATTGTTTTTATTGCTGCTGTTATCCCCATCAGGCAAACCCTCTACAACAGTGGTTCTCAACCTTCTGGCCCTTTAAATACAGTTCCTCATGTTGTGACCCAACCATAAAATTATTTTCGTTGCTACTTCATAACTGTAATGGTGCCACTGTTATGAATCGTCATGTAAATATCTGATATGCAGGATGGTCTTAGGCGACCCCTGTGAAAGGGTCCTTCGACCGCCAAAGGGGTCGCGCGCGACCCACAGGTTGAGAGCCGCTGCTCTAAAATTAGCAGAAGGAAACCAGAGAAACTAACTCCTAGAGGAGAAAATTCTAGAGCCCCCAAGGCCTTGAGGCCTTGAACAGACTCAGCAACCATTCTCTCCCCAGAAACCACAATCTAGGAAAGCCCACCAGTTTGGAAGCTGATGCTGTGGACCTTCTGACCACATCACCAGCTCATATTTGCTGGGTCGGTCAGGGACTGCAGCCTGCCTTTGGGAACTCCAGACCCAAGTGCAAAGGTTACCAGGCAAGCCAAGGTCACAAGCTGGCCTGGAGAGAAGGGGCAGTGGCCTCCCATCTGGAGTTGGCTGCTCCAAGCACCCACCCAGCAGCCACAGTGAGAAAGCAGAGCTGTGGGGCGTTTAGCTGTCCCAAGTCCTTCAAAAGAGCAGTCTTCCTCCCTAGCTCGGGCTGGGCCAGGGGCACCCCACCACAAGTCCCCTTGGCTATGCAAAGAGGAACAGCTGGGAAAACAGCGCTCAGCCTCACTGCCACCTAATGGCGAGGCCAACTGTTATCACCTGGTGGGGAGCGTAAACATGATGGGCGCCTGGAATGCCAACCAGGGAGACAGCCTCACTGAGGACAGAGGGGCCGCTGTCTGGGTGGTGCCTGGTTACTTCACACCCACCATCAACCAAGGTCAGGCCCTAACGAAACTCCCAATGCTTGTGTGAGGCAGGAAAAAGGGACAAGGTTGAATGGCAGCCCAAGTACTGGAGGACCCAAGTACTCCAGTCCCCGCCTCTTGCTGAGCCCAAGCGGCCCCCAGATCAGAGGAAGGGGGTCCTCAGAATCCCAAGGAGCAAGATGTTCCCAGCCACCTTGCCCTGGGAGAGAGGTGTCCCACCAAACACTCCTTCCTCCAAAGTCTTAAGCAAGTCCAGGAGTACAGCTCCTGAAATCCAAGCTCAGTACCCCTTCTGCTCCCTAAATGGAGCCAAAAGCTCAGAAAACTTCCAACAGTGGCTTCTAAGCCATCTCCCCACAACCACGGAAAGATCGAACTTGCCACAGAGGTGTCTGTCCCACACACCGGACCAGTAAAATAGCGTAATAATATGAAAGAGTTCTGGGGTAGACAGCAGTGTGTCCATCCAGTTCCCCACAAAAGTTAAGTTCAATAAAGGAGGATCCTCCTCCAGCTCAGGGTAAACCCCAAGCCCCACCCACCAAACACAGGAGGCAGAAGCCCCTCTTGATCACTAGCGTTACTATCCTCCCCAAACTCTCCCCTAACACCCACTGAGCCTGCCCTGCCCCTCACTCAGCGCCTCCACACATCACAGTCCTCCTACTTTCACGGACGGCTATGTTCTCAGGATGGCTCCCCCGCAGCACCCAGTGGTATAACCCAGACGGCACTACCTGGACCACACTTGGTACAGCTCCCTCCCCAAAAGCCCCCACCTCTCCCAACGCGTAATTGGAACTGTTCCCACGTCCCCGAGTAGGTACAGCCTCCTACGCCGGGTAAGGCGCGCCCCTTCGATGGCTTAGCGCTCGCCCACCAGGCACGCTCTCACTTCACACCCCACGAGTTCTACCCCAAGCCCGTGTACACATGCTAGGGCGCGCGTCCCTAGCCCTTCAGTGGTTCGGGCCTCGCACTTAGGTAGGCGCCCCCCCCCCCGCCGCTTCAATGGTACGACCCGCCGCCCCCGCCTCTGGCCCCTCAGGGCTAGAACTACCGCCCCCGCGCAGCTGCCCCACTCGGTCCCGGAAGGGGGGGCTCTAGGACCAAGATCCCCGCCCGGCAGGCACTGGTGGTACGGCCCAACGCGGCACTGGGGCGGGGGGGGGGGGGGACGGACGAGACCACCGGGGGGGGGGGCGTTCGGGGACACGCACTGGCGCACTCACCTGTCACCGGCAGCCGCCCAGCCTCTCCGGCGGGGCTCTACTCCCGCCCATCGCCGCGCTGCGCTAGGTCCGCTCCTGCGTTTCCTGCCGACGGTGGCGGCTGTGGCAGCAGCAGTGCCTTCTCCGAGCCAGACCCAACGGCTCGCGCGGCGCGGCCCCCCCGCCCCCTCCCCCGAGCCCCCGCTTACCGCCCCGTCCCACCCTCTGGCCGGAAATACCGCCTTCTCCCGCCACAACAGGAACTGACGTAAAAGCGAGAACTAGACTCGGAGAGCGCTAGAGCGCAAGCGCAAGGAAAGGGAAGAGGCGGACTCAGAGCCGAGCGCCTTCGTACAATAGGCGAGTTTGGGCCGGTGTGCGTTAGGGATGTGCCTCGCGCAGGCGCCAGACGGAAAGAACGGGTAGGAACGAGCAGGCGCTGTAGCTCCGACTGACGCCCGCTTTCCCCAGAGGCTAGCCGCAACGATGTTTCCCGGCAGCCCCTGCTCCTTATTTGCATAGGCTTTGATCTCGTTTTACGCGGCTCTCGCTTTTCTTCCTGGGTCCAAGGCTCTTAAAGAGCCCTCGACTTGGGGCCAGGAGAGGTTGTCTTTTCAGTATGTCCCTCGTGGTTGAGCTCAGGCTCTGAAACCACACAAACCCAGCTTTGCATTTTCTTGCTGGGCAGAAGGCTGCACTGTTTTTTTCTGTGCCTCAGTATCCTCATCTGCAAAATGGAGACAATCATATCTGCGTAACTGGGCTATTGGACTATTTTATGTAAACAGAATAGTTTATATCAATTAGACATTCTAGGACGCCAAAATATTCTTATCTGCTCATCACATATGCAATTAAATATGGGATATAACTTTTTTATGGGGAAACTTGAACCTACAAAGGCCTTAATCACCCTGCAAGAGAAGCGTTTTGCACAAAATTCTGACCCATTTATTAGCTGATGTAGCAGACACTCCCCTCTCCTATAGGCTGAATGGAGCATGTTAGATCGTGAATTTGTGTTCTGGTATACCACACTGCTTGGCAAGTATACATTGGTTAGAGCATACTTCTCCTAGGAGGCCTGGTTGGGATTGAAGAATCCTGGGTTCACGTAAGTGTGAGAGTGTCTTGCACAAATCCTGCTCAGGGGTGAGCCTTAGATAAACCTAATGCTGGAACTAGGCCTTAACTATGGGTTTTCAGCTTGGAACTCACTGCTCTGTATTCCTAATTCATGGTGTTGCGCCATTACAGTGTCGATAACTCTGACCAATGCTTACACCACCACAACCCTAACCATTTCAGTCTTACTGTCTGGTGACAGGTTTCTCTCCTTCACTGCACAGAGTCCCAAGACTGAAAAGACCAGGACAGTCTCAGTCATCACTGTGTACTTAGCAAAGGGCCTGGCACAGAGTAGGCCCTTTGGGAATAATTGTTTCAAGAATTAGCCCTTCTGCTCCAATCTGGACTCAGGGTTACTGTGGCCTACCCTCTTTGCTCCTCTGCTCACAGCCCATCCCCCTACCTCTGAGTCTTCTTGGGCAACTCAAATCCCAGCCCCTCCTAGGGCACAGGATGGATTATCTCACTGAAACCTCCAGTGCACTTGTGTCTGAACTGTTGGAGTCCTAGTAGTCAAAGGTAATGACTTTCAAACTATTTTAAGGCCTAATACAGACATATGTGTACTTACAGTATAATGAAACAAAAGTCACCAAATACTATTTACCCTTATGAATGATGCTCTCTGATATTTTTTTCCAGTGCTGTTTGAGACCCTGCTGAACTGATTTCCTGGCCCACTATTGGCCTTGCAGTTTGTAAAACCACTCGTCTAAAGGTGAACAGTTCACTGGCTTTGGAGATGGACAGACCCTAGTTCTAATCATGCCTTTCCTATGTCCTTGTCAAAATAACTTCACTTCTCTGGCCTGGCCAGTGTATCTCAGTGGATAGAGCACCGGCCTTCAATTCCTGGTTGGGGCACATGCCCTGATTGCAGGCTTGATCCCCACTTAGGGGCGTGCAGGAGGCAGCCGATCAAAGATTCTCTCTCATCATTGATGTTTCTATCTCTCTCTCTCTTCCGCCCTTCCTCTCTGAAATCAATAAAAAGTATATATTTTAAAAAAATAACTTCACTTCTCTGAGCCTACCTTTCCTCATTGCAAAATATCAACAGAATTTATTTAGTAGTTGTTATGGGCCAGGTTCTGTTCTTAACATAGTTCTGCTGGTGCTATTCTGTTCCTATCAACATGATCTTGGAGGTTAGTGCAGCAGTACCCGTCCCAGGAGAAGTTAGGGATAGAGGTGGAATTTGAACCTGACAGTCTGATACAAGAACCTGTGATTTGCACTTATATCATGCAGAACGCTGGGAAGTATTGGCCCTACTCTTGTCCCCTGCGTGCTTTGGGAAACCACTTAATTATCATTCTCAGCCTCACTCGCTCAATTTCCACATCAAGGGTGATTGAGGAGAAAATTCCCTAAAACCACAAATTGTTCTCTACCCTCTAATCTGTTCTGTGAACTTCCCTCCCATAGCTATAAATATGGGCTGCCTGTGCATTTTTCTGGGGAGAAGGGTCGGTAACTTCTCATCTGAAGTCTACTTAAAGGCCTCTTGATTCAGAAAAAAAATGACTTAAGGATCCTGCCTTGAGGGATGAAGAAGACATCTCCTCAAAGCCCCCTTATGTCCAGGGAGCAGACATTTCAACCCTTCTCACAAGAGACTGGGCTCTGAGTGGTGATTGGATAAGCTGCACGACCAGCTCTTAGGATCCCCAAGTGGGGAGGCTTCTACTCCATTCCCAGGAGGTCTGGGGGTCTGACCCTGGCAGTGGTGGAGGTGGCGATGAGGCAGGGAACCCTCCCTGACACGTGGACATACAGGAGATGAAAGCAGGAGAAATGAGAATGCCCCCTTTCTTCATCCTACACAGCGCTTTTTCAGGGGAGAAATCCCATAGCATTGATCAAATTCTCAAAGTCTGGCACTGTTAAGAAAACGTTTTTATTTAAAAGCATTTCCTGCGTTATACAGAAATGTTGAAATATCTTTGACTCCCCAGTCAGAAGTTACTAAGCTCCACTCTAGATGCTACTGTTTGGGAAGATCCTTTAAAGTCATTTTAAGTGTTTGGCACAAGTACAGATAAGGCTCAGGGATTCTGTAAATGTTGGTTCCAATTTTCTTTTTATGAAATATGGTTCTCTTTCAAAACTTGTAATAGAAGACATCATGCACATTCAATTTTTTAACACACACAGGAGAGTCCCAGGTCATTTTGGTAGTTGTGCTATGCTAATACACTTTGGGGCAGACCTTAGAATAAAACTTTTTCTACCCTCAAGACTGAACACCTTATGGATCTGCTCAAACACATAGATGGCTTCCCATCCCAGGTGGAGTAAGAACTAAAGGCTTCACCAGGACCTTCGGGCCCTATGTGATCTGTGCCTGCCTATCCTTCTAACTTCATCCTAAGCTACTCTTGCCCTTGACCACTATGTTCTAGGCACACTAGCCTCTCCTATGCCCCTCTAAGAAGACAAGCTTATTCTCACCTCAGGGCCTTTGCACTTGCTGTTCCTTCTGCATGACTGGCATCTCCTTGTTTTTCAGAACTCAGTTCAAATCTCACCTCTTTGACTTTCCCTGGCCATCCCAAATCCAAAGAGCCAGGCTGTCACTATCTCTTTAGATTTTCTGAATTCCCTACCTAGCATTTAACAGCACATAATTTTTTTGTCTATTTTGTAATTGTCTTCCCCCAAACCAGAATATAAATTTTCCCAGGAAAACAAAGACCTTGTCTTAGGCACCACTGTCTTCCCAGCTCCTAGAACAATGCCCAGCACATAGTTAGGAATTGGGGATCCAGAAATATCTGTTGACTGACTGTGGTTTTTATTAGGAAGGTTAAAGTTCTGAACTGGGGTGATTTTTACTTCAGGTCTGAACTTGTCTACTCACAAAAAGTTGAACACATACTAATAATCTCTTAACCTTCACGGAAGAACTCCTACATATTAGGCACAATGCTGGGAACTATACATGACCTTGTTAAATGTGCCTGCGGGTGGACGTCTCTGTAAAGCCTATTTTGCAGAAGTAAATTTAGGCACAGCCAGAATACTGCGGTGCCTAAATCCACTCACAAAGATGTCTCAGGTCAAGCCCACACTTTAACTCACAGCACTGGACTTAACCTGCCTGGGTCCAGAGTGAGATACAGTAAAGTCTCATTTTATACTAAGATTTGAAACAGCAAAGTACTTAAAACACAGTTTCCCAATTTATTAAGAAAAATTGAGATGATATGAATATCATCTCTTTTTTAGGCCACCAGGGAGGGCATCATCGTCATTTTGTTGGAGCATCGTCCTCATACCCCAAGACTGCCAGTTTGATCTCTGGCCAGGGTACATACAAGAGTCAACCAGTGAATGCACAAGTGAAACAACAAAACAATGTCCCTCACTCCACCCCCCCCCCCCCCGTTCCTCTCTCTCTCTAAAATCAATTAATAAAAATAATGCCCAGCCGGCATGGCTCAGTGGTTGAGCATCGACCTAGGAATCAGGTCACAGTTCAATTCTGGTCAGGGCTGTCAGGGCACATGCCTGGGTTGCAGGCTTGATCCCCAGGAGGCAGCCGATCAATGATTCTCTTATCATTAATGTTTCTCTCTCCCCTCTTCCTTCCTCTCCGAAATCAATAAAAATATATTTTAACAAACAAACAAATAAATAAGATTATCTCATAGCTGCTCTACAAGGTGATTTATAAACTCTATTTGAGCTGTTGCCACAAGATGGCACCACATGCGCTAGTCATCCTGGCTGGAACTCCCGCTGAGTTGTAGGTTGGAGTCAGGCGCAAGATGGGAGGCCTTTGTACTGTTATTTAAACATTCACTCTTTAAAAGTAAACTGAAACCACTCATACAAGCAACACCACCATGTTTTGTTGGCGGTTTCTTTTGCTGTGCAGAAGGTTTTAGTAGTCCCATTCATTTATTTTTGCCTTTATTTCCCTTGCCTTTGGGGTCAAGTTCATAAAATCTCTAAGACCAAGGTCCATAAGTTTAGTTCCTATGTTTTCTTCCATGTAATTTATTGTTTCAGATCTTATATTTATGTCTTTGATCCATTTTGAATTAATTTTCGTACATGGAGACAAACTATAGTCTAGAACAGGGGTGGGCAAACTTTTTGACTCGAGGGCCACAATGGGTTCTTAAACTGGACCGGAGGGCCGGAACAAAAGCATGGATGGAGTGTTTGTGTGAACTAATATAAATTCAAAGTAAACATCATTACATAAAAGGGTACGGTCTTTTTTTTTTTTTTTTTTTAGTTTTATTCATTTGCCCGCGGGCCGTAGTTTGCCCACGGCTGGTCTAGTTTCATCCTCTTACATGTGGCTTTCCTGTTTTCCCAGAACCATTTATTGAAGAGGCTTTCTTTTCTCCATTGTATGCTTTTGGACCCTTTATCAAAAATTATCTACCCGTATACATGTGTTTTGGAGGTTTTTGTTCTTAATCCTCACCTGAGGATATTTTTCCATTGATATTTTTAAAGAGAGTGGGAGACAGGGGAGAGACACAAGAAAGAAAAACATTGATTGATTGCCTCCCACATGTGCCTGACTGGGCCCGAGGAGACTGAGCCTACAACTGAGGTATGTGTCCTAGACCAGAATCGAACCCAGGACTCTTCAGTCCGCAGGCTGATGCTCTATCCACTGAGCCAACCATTGGTCTCTGTGTGTTTTCTGCCAATATCATGCTTTTTTATTACTGTTGCTCTGTAGTATAATTTGAAGCCAGGTAGTGTGGTACCTTCGGCTTTGTTCTTTTTTCTCAGGATTGCTTTGGCTATTTGGGGTCTTTTGTGGTTTCATACAAATCTGATGATTTTTTTATTCTATTTCTTTAAAAAATGTCACTGGGATTTTGATGGCATTGAATTAAATCTGTATATTGCTTTGGGTAATATGAACATTTTAACTATGTTGCTTCTTCCAACCCATAAACACTGAAACAAAAAGGCAACCAACCAAATAGGAGAAGTATTTGCAAATAACAGCTCCAACAAGGGATTAATATCCAAAACATATAAAGAACTCATATCACTCAGCATCAATGGACAGAGAAAAAAAATTGGGCAGAGGACCTGAACAGACACTTCTCCCAAGAAGACATACAAATGGCCAATAGATACATGCTCAACTTCACTAGCTATTAGGGAAATGCAAGTCAAAATTACAATGAGATACCACGTCACACTGTCAGAATGGCTATCATCAATAAGGCAAGTAATAACAAGTGCTGGGGAGATCATGGAGAAAAAGGAACCTTCATTCACTGCTGATGGGAATGTAAACTGTATAACCACAATGGAAAACAGTATGTAGGCTCCTCAAAAAACTAAGAATAGAGTTACCATCTGACCCAACAATCCCTCTTCTGGGTATCTGCCTGAAAATTTTGAAAACATTTATTCACAAAGATATATGCACCCTATGTTCATTGCAGCATTATTCACAGTGGCCAAGACATGGAAACAACCCTAGTGTCCTTCGGTAGAAGATTGGATAAAGAAGATGTGGTACATATATACAATGGAATACTACTCAGCCATAAGAAAAGATGAAATATTGCCATTTGTAACAACATGGGTGAACTCTGGAAATATTATGCTAAGTGAAATAAGTCAGAAAAAGCTAAGACCCATATGATTTCAGTCACATGTGGGATATAAAACTGAAACTCATAGAAACAGACAGCAGTATGGGGTTACCAGAGGGAAGGGGGTAGTACAGGGTAAAGGGGGCTAAATATGTGGTGACAGAAGATGATTTGACTTTGGCTGGTAAGCACACAATGCAATATACAGGTCATGTATCACAGAAATGTACACTTGAAACCTATATAATTTTTTAAACCAATATCACCCCAATAAATTTAATTTAAAAATTAAAATAAAATTAACCAAAAAGAGCAACATGTGA